TGTGATAGGGACCTCCTTCCCTGCAGGAGCATGTGGCTTTGTTGTAGGATGAGGCTGGATGCTGCAAAGTAACAGCAATGGGGCTGGTATGGTATTGTTTTTTAATGGAAAAAGAAATGTATCTCTCTCTCTATATATATATATATGCATGTATATTATCATTCATGAAATAAGGAAATTGAATTACAGAGTCTATGGTAGCCCAATGAAAAAGGTATAGATGTGCTAGGAATATGCTAGATGCAACTATAAGGCAAGACTGAAAACAGCACAGGGTCCAAGTGTGAGCTGTGCAGTGGGGCAAATCGACACAGCCACTTGATGTCATGCTGTGCCTCAGTTTTCCCTTATGAAAGAGGTTCATATCAGTGGTGATTTCATACAGTGGTTGCAAGGAGTAGATGATGGATTCATATGAAATGTTGGAGATGGTGCTTGGCTCTTAATAGACATCTAGTAAATATGAGTTGCTATTATTATTATTTTGGTCCATGACTTAGGTGATCACTACTGAGCTGATCAAGCATGGTGCAGCAGAAACCCTCAGCTGTTACAATGATCCAGCTGATATGATTTCACTGTGTTTTTTCAACAAAACTGTACAATTCTTATTTTCCCTGTGTATTAAAGGAAGTATTCATAATAATAAATGTAATTGGGTGGCTATTCTATGGGATTATTATGGCAAGTGATTCGATAGAATGTTCGTGGCTAGAATGGAGTCCTGTCTTGCTGAGGAGAAGGCCACTCATAAGACAGAGGAGACCAGAAAATTATTTTCCTCAGGTGGTTCCATGGAGAGGTAGACACCCCAATCCAGATGGGTGAAAGCATATGTGGATGAGACCAACAATCATCAGGTCTTCCAGGGCTTGGCTCCTGGGATGGAGAGGACAAAAGAGGCACGCACTGAGGAGGCAGGTCTTGGAAAGAATGGCTCATGGAGGGAAGGACTGGCTGATCTGATTGGTCTTATCCATTCGTCCAGATACAAAATCATGGCCTCAACCCTCACTCTGATCTTTCCCTCTTTCTCAAATTCTGAGTTCAGAAATAATCTCTCCTGGTGAGTCTGTGTTGTCTTAGACTAAAGGCCAACAGCCTCTGCCTTGCAAACTTCAATCTAATTATGGGGATGCTCCTTAGGACACTGTCTGGAAAGGTCGGGAGAACTGTGCAGACAATGCCAGAGGAGGACTGGGGTGGGCATCCTTCTCTCTCTCATACCCCTGCCCTGTTTCATCTGACAAGACTAACCTGCATCTTTCATAATACTTCATCCCACCCCAAGCCTCAACCCAATTTAGGTTACACCACAGAGGGAAACTGGAAGGAAAATGAAGATGCACTAACTCCAAAACACCCAGGGAAACAATGCAAAATGCTAGAGAAGGAGAATGTAACGAGTGACCTGCCCCTGAGCCCCATCCCTGACTACCAATGCCAGCATCTGTGGGCATGGTCCCAGGTGAAATCATTGGCAAAGTTCTTGATTGTTTCTAGCTAGCAGTCAGGGCTGAGAACTAGTGCTGGGAAAATAGAACTGGCTAAGCAAAGGGAGAAAGAAATGATTTCAGGGAACTAGTAGGACGCTGGCCGTGAACAGAATAATTGGACCATTCAGACTTGTTCCTGACTGGGCAGTCCAACAAGACATAAGATCTGTATAGCAGGCAAGGACTCTCTCAAATTCCTTGGAACACTTCAGACTGGGGAATCTCTGACATAAGTGATAAGGACATTTTTAGGATTCCAAGAAGTCTTCTCAATGAAACTACTCCCTCTTGTCTTAGAGCATCCACCTAGAAGCAGTTGCTTGTGATGAGGACTCTTGTGAATTGAAAGGGGTGGGATAAGTTGCCAAAAGCCTGTAGAACATCATTTTCCAAGCTCTCCACAACTTCCCAGCTGCTCTGCCTGATACATTAGAACCCTTTCCCTGAGATGTTTGTTTACTTGAAATGAATTATGAAAGTCAACATTAAACAGTGACTTGAAGGACATGCTAAAGACAGAGCTGGAAGACCCATTTTCCTGACTTTCATTCTAATACATTTCCAGTATAGTATGTTGGGGTGGGGGAGATGGGCAGTTAGCATTGATCCTTGTTAATTGGGATCATAGCAAAATGGACCTGATGATCTTGGTGACACTGAAACACATGTGGTTCCCTTAGGTGATGTGCTTGGTGGTAATCTGCCATGCTGGAACTCTGTAAAAGGATGATGTTGATTTCCTTGCACTATGTAATGCTGTGTATATATTCGCTTTGCAAGGTAGGTTTCAGTCCTTCAGAATCCACAGGGAGTAGCAGGAAGGATACTAAGAACAGGCTGGATCGCTTCACTAGTACACAGGCTGACATTTCCAGGGAGAACAGCCCTGGACTCCCAGGTTTCAGGCACACTTGAAGCTCTTCTCCCAGTTTATTACAAGCTCTTCATTTCCTGAAGGGCTCTTGAGATCACTCTGTTCTGGAGCATATACATGCTGGACACTGTCTCTTTAAATAACAGAGGCTGAGAACCTCTCAGGCCACCATGACATATCCCAGCATTGGACCAGCCCCTGAATAAACTGGAAAGAAGCCTGCCCTGGCTTCAGTTACAGGGAGCACCACCAGGGAACATCTTGGAGAGTCTGGCTGGAAGCAGCGGGGCTCAGAGTCTGTCTGCTGTGGGTCTCCAGCTGCCCTGTGGGGAGGGCTTGCCTTCCATCCTTTGCATTTGACTGCAAAGAAATTCGTGTGGAGGAAGGGGGTTACACTGCTGTCTGGTGAGTTTTATTGGCAAATGGTACCTCTGGGTGGTGTGCACTTTATAGAATTGCTCAGTCCAGTCCTGATCCCCTGCAACCTGTGAATGGAAAGAGACTATAATAGAGATGGTACATAGGTGCAGGAAGTGACAGGGGCTCAGAGGAGTTCCTAAATCTGAGCTAGGTCTGTACTAGGTCTGAGAGCATCAAGAAACCTGAGTACATCCAGACTGGAAGGAAGAAGGAGGTCTAGATGGTTCTTCCATGATTGGGAGCAGCAGTGTACATATTGGCAAGTGGGTCTGGTAAGCAGGGTACAGAACCTTTTCCACCTGTGGCCGGCTGGACCTGGGTGTGGCCCAGCTTTCTGAGCACTTCCTCAGAAGCATTTCCTCTCTAGTCCTGGGAGCTAGCCAGGAAGCAGGAGGCAGAGAGGGACAGATGGGGCCACCCTTCTGGCAGCTTATAATGTCGTGATGACCTAGGTGATAAATACTGAGTCCCCAAAGAGGAAGGAGCACTGGCAACTGTGGGTACAGTGGCAACATGTGCACTTTTTTATATGCATATTTGACTTCATTAAAAAGTTTCCTTGAGAAACAGAAAGAAAAGAGAGTTCTGAGTTAAACAATGGTGATAAAAGTGTTTAGAACAAATGTGGCTATGTAAGTAAAAGGGCAGCATACAACTAGACAATGACATAGAGCACATTTGGCTTATAAAATGACCCATAAAGTAGGGGCAGTGCTTCCATTTCCTGATTTAGTCTCCCTGGGCATGTACTTTTATGTAGCTGTTCCACTCAGGCCATCTTAAACTCTTATATTGTCAAACTGCACAAGTCTACATTGAAGGGTTGATGTGAGAGTTAAATGTGGTATTTTTCTAATAGTGGCAAGTTTAGGGGCCAGGCCTGTAGTTTGTTCTAGCTTTGAGCATGTCTTCTTTAAGAATACCCTTAGTTGCCGGCAGAATTAGTCCTTTGCAGATGAAAACACTGATGCTCCCTGAGCTTTATAAATTGTTCAGTTACAGGAAGAAGCAGGGTCATTAGGTGTGTGTGAACAGAGCCCTGGCCCTAACCACTGCATTGGACTGCGGCTCATCCTCCCATGTGCCAGGCCCAGGTAAAGCACCTGGCACAGAGGGAACACTGAATAAAAATTTCACGAGTATGCTTTTTAATCTGATAAGAACTTTCTAAAGACCATTGTTTTAAGGATTTGTCAAATTAATTTTTACTTAAAGAGTAAGACTAAATACTATGGAATTATCTGAGTCAGTTAGGGCTTTATGACACACTGCATTAATAGATAGGGAGGGTGTGGGTGTGTAGGTAGAGTCTTCTTGTTCAATCAGCCAGCACAGGTGACCTGTAGGCCACTTGGGCTCATCTACAAGCAGCGTGGCTATCATCCTCTCCCTCTGTAGCTCTGAGTGGTCACACCCAGGCGCCTATGAATCAGCTGGTTTCCCTGGCTGCTCTTCTAGCACCTCAGATGGCCACTTCCCTCATCCCCTACCCACATGGCCAGGACTCCAGCCAAGGGTGGGAGCCAGGCCAGACTGCCTCAGGCAAACTTCGCCTGGAGCTTACATGCACTTGTGATCTGGTTTTGTTTAGGCTAGGAGGAGTGGGATCCCAGGGCTTTCTGTCCCATAATCAGCCTGGCTTTTCCTTTCGTCACATTCTCATCCAAGCAGGGCCTGATGGACAGGTCCCCTGAATCCCAAGAAGCCAGCACACTTTCTAGGTGCAGACAGGGATAGAGGGGACAGGTATGATGAGGGTATGAGGGCATGCTCAGTCAGTATTCCAGAGCTGGCCAGGTGTGCCAGCCCCTGAGAGGTAGAGGGTGTCTTCTAAAGCTTAAACCTGAAGTCCTGGCTGAGGATAGGAGTCTAATTCCCTGTGGGCAGTCTGCATCACTGTGCCCGGAAACCCAGCACTGAGCACTCACAGGATGACATCTGACAAGCTTTTCCCACGTTGGCTGATGGGACCAAGGGAACAGTTTATTGGTCAACAGCTTCCACGAGTACCCGTGGAGCCCGGGAGAGGTGGGAGGTGAGCAGCTTAGTGGTGTCTAGTCGAAGTCTCCGAGGTTTTGCAGAGATCTGCTGCTCCCCCCACAACCCCCTGCGTATTTAAGGCCAAGTAACTGTCTTGGGCTGCCTACGCGCCCGCCCCGCCTGCCCCCTCTCCTGGGGAGGCCCGCCCTCCAGCACACGCTGACCCAGGGACACACCCTACTGCAGCGACGCAAACAGGGCGTAGTTCCCGTTAAAGGGGAACGCCGGGAGCCTCCCACTGGCCCCTTGCATCGCCCGCGCACGGTCCCGCAGCACAGCTGTCTTTGGGGACATCAGCGACTCAGCATTTACAGCCGAGTTTGTGCCTGAGGCAGCTCTGCTTGGAGACAGCCGTTCCATTTGCACTGTAAGTAATTTGGTGGGGAAAGTGAAGATGGAGGAGAAACGCGGGCTTCTTCCGTCGATGAAATAGCAAAAGTGGAGAGCAGGCGCGGTCCTGGCCAAGTCCTCTTGGTGGCAGGAGACCCGGCTCCTGCTTCCTTCCTACCCATCCCAGAGGGGCACACCAAGGACTGTCACTACCATGTGCAGACCTCACTGGAGAGGGTAGTGATGGTGTCTGGATAGAGGGTGGCTAAGGGTGGCTTAGGAAGTCTTTGGGGATGCTTTGGGAAAAGAACTCCTCCAGTGGGTATCCATCTCTGCGGTCCCTCAGGTTCTAGCCACAGGTCCGATCATCCTCTTGCTCCGGGTCACTCGGAATCATCGGATATACTTTTAATCTTCTAGAAAGCATCAGAAAATCCTTTTTATTTCTTCTGTGCATCCCTGGGTTTCTTTGGCTGTATTCCTTGGGAGGAAAATGGAAATGTCTGGGATAGAATGCTTGTTAAAAATAATTGAAAAGTCTCCCTGGCCCAAGAATAGTCCTTAAGTGGTCCTCCTAGATTCAACTAGTCATTCCCAGTTGTACACATCTTTTGTGGGGTCATCGCAAGCTTTAGCTCCCCACGGTCTGTGAAGTGAGGGCATAGGATCCCACGACCTCGGAAACAAGTCCTGTTGGCTCTGATCCCTGGAATTCTCAGATCAACCCCAGCGATCTGCCTCTCCTTCCCGCCAGACAGCGGCACCCCTTGGAACGAGCTCCTCTGGCTTGGCTCTGGGCGCGTCCACTCCGGATGTGAGACTGGACCTCGTCCGCGTGGGGTTCCAGGAGGTCCAGACGAGCGCACGTGGGTTTAGCAGGCGCCTTTCGCCCGCGGTCCCCAGGGGCTGCCGGGGAAGGCACAGGGCACGGCGGGCGGGAAGCGCGGGGGCCGGGCACCCTCCCAGACCGCCCTACTCCCGGGTCCTGAGCCATCTCTCCCCATCCGCCAGCGTCTAGACCCGGCCAGGGGCGGGATGGCTCCTCCAGGCTGGCAAAACCGGGTGGAAACTTGGAGGCAAGCAACGGAATGCAGGGCGCGCTGGGGTCTGGGAAAGCAGCCTCCGGCCGTGGGCTACCCTAGTCCCCTGGCAGGAATCCCTGCGCGGCTGGCTCTCGCTCCCTTCCTTCCACCCCCGGGAATTCGCCCTGTGACTAGCCCTGGAGCGTGGCCTCTGTGGCCTACCGACTCCCGCGAGCCCCAGGAGACGGCCGGACCAGGAGTGCTGTCATTCTGGAAACCCCTCTCCTCCCCGCGCCTCGCGGGAGTAAACGAGACGTGCACTGCGCTTGTTCCTTTCTGAGGCCAAGGATGTTGCGTTGCTGGCCGGCCTGCCGCCTCTGGGCGGGGAAGTGGCGGGCGGCTGCCGCCCCCTCCTGGCGGTGCGCAGGACCCTCCCCCGATGCTCCTCCTGGGTCCTCCCTGCGGCTGGAGGGCCTGGACCATCTGCCTCACTCCCGCCTCCCTCTCCACACAGGCAGAACTCCGCGGAGCCCCACTCGCAGCCACCATGCTTCTGCTGTTGCTGGGAATCCTGTTCCTCCACGTCGCAGTGCTAGTATTGCTGTTAGTCTCCACCATCGTCAGCGTGAGTGCCCGAGGGCAGGGGCGGCTTCCCAGAGGAGGGTGGGTTTGGGGGGTTAAGATCCCAGCCTGTGCTTCCCCAGCTTCCAAACTTGCTTGTTAGTTGCAGAGAATTGCCCAGGGCGATATTTTTGCACTTCCTGATCATCTGCTTCTTTTCAGGGTTTGATTTTTGATTATTTGTTTTTGTTTGTTAGTTTAGAAAGTCAGAACAGTTTCTGGGTAGGAAGAGAGAAAACTCTGGAAGAAGTCAGCTAGCTGCTCTGGCCTCTAAGCCAAATGGTTTCAAGGCTGCTGGAAGGTTCCTGGCTTCTATTTGATAAGATTGTGTAGCATTCTTTTACTTGATGTAGCCTCTTAGAGAAGTAGTGGGTGGTTGATGATTTGTTTTGCCCAGACGGTAGATTTTCTTCTATACAACACTCCTTTAAGAATTTAAGCTATTGCCGGTAGTGGTGGTGCACACGGGTAGGTAGGATATGCTGAAGAATTGAAGTTATGGAGTTAAAATGGACATTTCTGGAAAACATTCACACCTTGTTAAACAGCCCTCAGCTTGTCGGGGAAATAACTGGTTACGAAACTCCCATCCATTTTAAATCCGTTTTCTTGTTCATGAAGATGACCTAGGACAGTTTATGTGAGTGGCTTGACCATCTTTAAGTAAAACAAGTTGTATGTGATTTTCTGATCTTTTTAAAGAATAATTATGTTAGGGATGTGCAAATTTCTTTATCAGTTAAAAGTATCTTTACAAGATCTCAATTATGACTGATGCTAATCTTGTCAGATTGATACAAATTGTAAGGACCTGGGATATAGCTCATTTGGTAGAATGCTGGCCTAGTGCATTCTGAATGCTGGTTTAATTCCTAGCATCACATGGAACTGTGTGTAGCAGTACATGACTATAACCTCAATACTTAGGAGGTGGAGGCAGGGGGATCAGAAATCCAGGATCATTCTTGGCTCTGTAGAGAGCTGGAGGCCAGCCTGGGCTACCAGAGACACTATCTCAAAAATAAATAAATAAAGAAGTTGGCTTAGAGAGGTGGTGGCTTGGGAACAGTACCTAGGAGGTGAGAGGGAGAGCTTGAAGGCAATCGTCTTTGGGTGAGTCCCTGGTTCCAACTATGCCAAACACCCCTACATGTAGCAGTGTGTGTGTGTGTGTGTGTGTGTGTGTGTGTGTGTGTGTGTGACTTTTCCCTTCCCAAAGTGCTTTTCATGAAACTGTGCTCCCACCTCCACATGATGTCTGTAGCAGACTGCCACCTCTCTCATCTCTGGATCATGACTAAACTTTACCAGAATGTGACTTGTGCTGAAGCACACTGGGCAGGACAGGGAGGGCTAGGCAGCCAGGTGATGAGACTGCTTCTTTCTGTCCCTCACCCTGCCCCTCTGCCTCCTTACTCCTCACTGCCTCACTAATTGGGGGTATCTGATTCTTTCCAGCAATGGCTGGTGGGCAATGGACACACGATTGACCTGTGGCAGAACTGTACCACGTCTTTCTCTGGAGCCGTCCAGCACTGCTACTCTTCATCTGCGAGTGGTAAGACTGTCTTTGTGCTCTCCAGACTTGTCCTTAGGGGTTTCGTTCAACATACCGAAACAGCAGTTCCTGGAAGCAATGAGCTAGAAAGCCGCTGCCAGGAAAGGTGGAATGTGTCAAGAGCCAGGAAACCAACATGGGGGGGCTGGCTATCTCATGAGGGAAGCTAAGGGTTCTGAGTGTCATTGTGATTCTGCCTAAGCAGTGGTCTCAGCCCCATCCCTGTCACCTTTTGTAATGTTCTTTATGACTAAAGAAATGTGGACATAGGTACTCAGTAAAGGTGATGTGCCAGACCCACCAGCACAGGTGATATAATGGACATTTTTGGTTTGGTACCTGACTCAATCTGAAATGTCTTGCCTCTTTCTGCTGCAGTGGCAGTTGGGCCTTCCTGAGGATAGTCCAGCTAGATTTGTGTCCTCTGGTTACCAGACTGCTTTCCCAGGTCTTGGGGCTCAGTGGTGCCACTCAGCATAGCCTATGAGTGCTTCCTGATTGTAAGCTGGAGATTGCAAAGCCCTACACTTAGCCTGTGGGCCCTACTCTACATGACTGTATTTCTCCTCTGATCTCAGCATCTTTGCCTAAAAGATATTAGAAACCAGACTGAGGATCAAGTCGAAGGGACACTTGGTACTGGAAGCACCCATAGAGCCTCCACACACCCAGAAGGAAGGCATGCTCAGCAGGGAGCCTGTGAAGTGGGATGCTTAGAGGCAGACATGAATAGGACTGGCTATTTTGGTGGCTGAGTAGGCCATAGAGATTGGTGCTACAATCTGGTCTTGCGTTCCGAGGGACATGTCCTGGGCCTGGGGAGGAAAGTGGCTGCAGATCATGAGGTGCTCTGGAATTCTGGGTTTGAAAGGCCAGTTAGGACAACTTTCAATCTTGCTCTAACTGCTCATGTGTATTGTGTTAAGATGCTACGCTTGGGGAGGGCACCCAGCTCAGATCAGTTAGAGCAGGCGCTGAAGTGACCCTTGGCTGTGTGAAATCTAATTTCTTGGTTGGATTTCCCTTCTCTGTGCTCTGTACACAGTGGTATTCAAGTGTGTCATCGGAGCATGGCAAATGAAATGCCTTAACTCCAGTAGAAACAGGAGTTTCTGACATGTTCATATAGGGAGGACAGGCAAGGAATAAAAAGATCTGTTTCAAAATTTCACCATCTTGGGGCTGGGACAGGGTAAAAGATCCAAGTCCTATAGAAATGGGCAATGTGCCTTCTGAGAGTGTGAGACATGTTGAATGAAAACCATCCTAGAGACTGCATGGTAAATTGACAGCCAAGTAAATGAAATGCTCACGAGTGCCTGAGAATATGATGGGTTTGCTGCTGGTCTCCAAAGCCACAGCTTTCCGTTTCTCCTGCCTCAGGGTCTGGCAGAAGTTCCCTGCACATTCATGATGGGACGCGCCTGTCTCACTATCGACACCTAGTGGTTATGGGTGACAACACAGCCTGCAAAGGGCAGCCTTCTCTAAGGCTCTGAGCTTGGTGTCCACAGGCGCTGTCCCCAAGTGGCATCTGGCCACGCTGGGTTGGCACGGAATTCTGGACTCATAGGCCCGGAAGGGAGCAGTTTTGGCAGGCGTGTTAAAACCGCCTGAGTTTCAGCAGAAACGAGGCGGCAGAGGAACTGCTAAGTTGTGCACAAACTGTTCAGCAGAGAGAGGAAGATACAGCTTTGGGTGGCCTGTTATTGACCCAAACTGGGCACCTTCCCACATTGTAAATAACTGTCCCTTCATGCAAGAAGCAGATGTCTCTTAAAGAAACACAAGTGCTGTTTTAAAGGGGACACTTACCTCTCAACTTCTCCTCGTGTGGCAAATTCACCTTTCTGAGCTCACAACGACTTTGTTCATGTCATTGGTGTGATTGGAGGTCTGCTTGGTGGTTTTCCTGGGGACCCTAAGACATAGCTTTTACAATAAGGACCTTTTGAGGAATTCCAGACAGGCCCCAAAGAAGCTGGGCTTGTTTCCACTTGGGCTTATTCTAAATTAGAAGTTTCCACTTAAACTTCCCCAGTAGTAATTATTTCTGCTGACGTCTCCCTGGCCTGTCAGCATGTTACAGCCTCAGCTCTGAGTCCTCAGGCCCCTAGGCCTGCTTTGCTTTTCCCGTGGTGTTCAGCAATGAGTTGTATGAAGATAGGTTTAGAAAGTACAGAACTTTGAAAGCACTGGACTGCCTTCATGAATGAACTGCACTTACCTTGTATGTGTTTGCTCTTAGAATGCTGGAAACATACTTTTGAAGTAATCCTTGATATGATTTGTAAAGAACGTGTAGCAAGTATGCCATGTGAAATTCCTCAGTTTACACAACTAGTTCCCCTCCATCCTCATGGGATTTTGCTGCTGCCCAGGTTGACTTTGAAATCCTGAGCTCAAGAGATCCCCCTACCTCAGCCTCCTGAGTAGCTGGAACAGTACTGGCATATGCCCCTATGTCAGCTCTGACCCATTGTTTATTCTGAAGGGACTTTGATACTCTTCCTGTCTCTCCAGGGGGCCTGTTCTGCTTTGTTTACATTACAGCCACTGTCACTTGGCTGGGGCCTGCTGGCATGCACTCTGAGGTAGCCCAGCATCTGTGCTATCAGGCTTGAAGATGTATCAGAGCTTTCCTTGAGCCATTTTTTGATGTGGGAGTTAGTCTTAGGTGCCTTACCAACTGCTCTCAGCCTCTTCTGACTTCAGTTTTTCTAAACCAGGTTGCCTGTTTTCTGGCCCCTGCTTGATACTTGCTGTAGTCAGAGGTTAAGTGGTCAGTATCCCTCCACCCCCTCAATCCCTGCAAGCCTCAGGAGCTCTTGGCCTTGGCAGTAGGGCTTTACCCCTGGTGATACTGAGCCTCACTAAGAAGTCGGGATAAATGTCCAGGCATGAGTCACTCACTGTCAGATGCCCGTGGAGAGGGGGCAGGCAGACAGTGCCAGAGTTCATGGAGGAAGTGGAAGGGCAGTCTCCAGTGGGAGGTGGAATATGATCCATCCTCCAAAGGATAGGCAGGATTTAAGTAAATACAGGCAAGGGGGAGGATGCTCCCTGTCTGGGCATAGTAGACCAGTTGTCTAATATTCTTGTTGTTATTACAACTGACTGCACAGCACAGAACATCTTCAAATGGTAGTTCCTTAAATAAGTTTATTTTCCTCTCTTTCAAAGAAGACTGAAAGTAGATAGCCCAAGAGAGGTGTGGGTTTCATGAAATTTTTAGAAAACTCTTTCTAGCACATTTCTTTGCCATCTTTTGGGTTTGACTCTCATTCTTGTGGATGTAAAAACTGATAGGGCTGTAGCTACCTCCTCCATGCTGTAAGCATTAATGGAATGTGTCTGAATAGATACACATTTTTCCCTCTTTTATTGAAGCTTAGTCACCAGACCATACCTTATTTATTTATAAAAGAGACTGAGAAATGAGTAATTAACCTCCTGGGAGGCAGGAGTTCTTGATTTATAGGTTTAAATTTTTAAAATTTATTCCCATTTTATGTGTATTAGTGTTTTGCCTGCATGTATGTAAGTGCACCCATGTCGTGCACTGACTACGAAGGCCAGAAGAGGGTGTCTGATCCCCTGGAAGTGGAGTTATAGACCATTGTTAGCTGCCATGTGTGTGCTGGGAACTGGAACCTGAGTCCTCTACATGAGTAGCCAGTCCTCTTAACTGCTGAGCCATCTTTCCAGCCTGATTTGTAGAAATTTAAAAGCAAGAGCCCTGGTTCACCTGTCCTGCAGTGCATGTCTGAGTCTGCCACAGTTTCAGAGCCCAGCTGCAGCATTCTCCAAGGGTTCAGTGTCTCCAGATCCTGAACGCTGTCAGCTTCTCTCTCCCTTCGTGGAAACATCTGGGTCCCATAGCCATCTCACATCTTGTTTGTCAGAGCCACTGAGGCAGCTTCCGACCAGCTATGCCCGTTCTTGTTCCTCCAAGGTTGAGTTCTCAAATTAAATCCAGGATGAAGTTTTTAATAATAAGACCTGATCCTGTCACTGTTTTCCAAGCTTTCTGGGGTTCCTCATTGACCTTCATCATCAGATGAGAGCACGGTCATGCCATGGGGATCTGCCAAAGATCTCTTCCTTTCCCCCATTGCTCTTCTCCTCTTAGGAGTTCAGCATTCCCTTCATTCCTCAGATGTAAACCTCGCACTTCAGGATTCTCCTCTTCTTGCCTTCCTTTCTTCCTGTCTTCTTTCCTTCCTTCCCTCCCTCTCACCCGTTATTTCATTCAGAGCTATTTGTAATACTTACAGTATGCCACAGGCCATTGTAGAACTGAAGAGAACACTAGAGCAAACCAGAGCTCAAGGCATGCTGGGAAAACCAGCCAGTGAGCATGGATTGATTTGGGGGCCATGAAGAGAACAGATGGGGGATTGGGATAATGGGGGGTGTATGCTATGGTGTGTGTGTGTGTGTGTGTGTGTGTGTGTGTGTGTGTGTGTGTGTGTGTGTGTCTGCCTGTCTGTATGTAAACCTGTTTGGAGTTAGAGAATGGTTCCAGAATCAGCTGTGTAAACATATCAGGGAGGTTCTGGGCAAGGGTACCACCAAGTGCAAGATCACCAGGAGGGAGGGAAAGGTGTCTTGAAGAAGGAACAGAGAACAAGACTGCACAGTGGGAGCAGAATTGGGGGTATCCCTTTACAGATTATCCCAAAGATCCTCCCACAGTCTAGAAAGGAGTGATACCTGTAGAGACCTTTCTAGCCTTTGGATCACGTTTAGATCTGTTCTGTACTCTGAAGGATCTGCTTTCTTCTAAAAGCACTGGTAAGGCAGACTGTTGCTTTCTTACTAGGTACCCCATACATCTGGATGATAGAGTTCTTACCACTTTTTAAAAATCTTTTCTGCCTTGTAGGTTTTCCTCCTAAAGACCTTTGCTTTTACAATCAGAGAATAGCTACAGAAAAGATTTCAAGTTAGAGAAATTAGCCTTAGCTGCAGGCATGGTGGACAGGACCAGGGGGCAG